AAAAAAAATAAAAACACACATCATGGTAAAATCCATTGCAACAACTCCCTCACCATCTAGATGACGTAGGCCATCTACACCTAATGTACAGAAGAGCGTTACAAACTATTATACCTGCCTTTTTGTTTTGTTTTAATGTATGTACCTAATTAAGCATGCTAAAAAATAAAAACTATTATGAAGTCAGAATTTGGCAGTCAGGGTTTGAAGTATAGCTATTTAAACTTTAAACCCATCAATTATTATGAATTAGTCCCATCCAAGGTGGTTTTTTTTTACATAAAAGATCGAAGGATGTTATATAATATGAAAATTCTATACATTTAAATTAACTATAACTTTACAACCAATAAGTCTAATCACCAAATTCTGAGTTCACCATCGTTTTCAGATTAACTATATGCACACGTAAAAAGGAGAAATGTAAAAAAGGATGGCTGGTAAAACAGAAAAGTACCTAAATATTTATTAAGAATATAATTATTTTTATTTAAAACTAGTTATTAATTATTATCATAAAATGGCAATAATATTACAGAAACATGTATTTAATTGTTTAAAAATCACGTTATTCAAGTACCTGTGGTGTGTTTAGTTCCTCTATTGATTATCATTGTTTTAATATTGTGACACTTCACATTTTTGTCATACAATTGTTCTTTATTTTGAGTTGTAGAAAACATCGAATTTGAACATTGGTCTGCATTGACACTATCATTTAAAGGTGTGATTACTCTAACCGATTTATCACATTTGTCATTAGACTTTTCATTATTTAATCGACAATTATTCTGGTAATTTTTTTTTTGGTTTTTGTTGCTACAAAATTYCATACAATTATGATTTTCAGGTAAATGGTTAAAACGATTACTATAACAAATAAAATCATAATTTTTCGATCGACCAACGGTTCGTTTTTTAAACACATATGGCTTTCTCAGCTCTTTGGAGCACATTGGTTTTTCATTAATTAGATTATGAGATTTTTTATTTTTTATCAAATCAGTATTGGATTTTTCAAAATTAACATCGACAACTTCGTATTTTATTTCTGAAAAATTAAGCTTGTAAATTACTATACTTCATTATACTTCATTCGTGCCAAATATTTTTTTACCTGACTTTTTCAATTCTTTTTTGTTATATTTGCGTTTGCTATGATTAACTCTATCACAGTAATTTTTTGAGAAATCGGTTGGTTTTAGATTTATATCATTTACTTTGTCAGTTTTTAAAAACTGCTGTTGATTGTTTTTGGATTTCTTCTTTCTTTTTTTATGGCGGTTGTTATCTGCAATCTTTTTAGTCTGTTCTTCCTTTGATTTGCTTTCGTTAACCTTTAAATCGAGAAATGTTTGATTATACAACTATTTAAGAACATTAATAATATTGATAATGATCTTGATATGGTTTATAGATTAAAAATTAATAACTATACAACTTATATAGAGCGTTGTAGAAATAATAACTGACAAATTGATATTGCCAAACTTTTAATAACATCTGTTCTATTTTAATCCTTTGAATCGTACATCATTACAATATTATTAATTAAATATATTTTTTTGTTTCAAATTTATTATAATTAATTCATCACACATAATCATTCAATAATTACATATATGCCAGTTATTTTTTCTACACTCTTGTTACTCTTGATACGTACAATTCAWTATTCAATAAAGTACATTATAATAGTAGGTTGTATTCATGAGGTGGTACATACCATGAAGTGATATTTCTTAGTCATTTTTCATACTTTAAGTAATATGTATTTATTTATTATGCAGTATAAAATATTTTTTTAACAAATTAACATTGTTTATTTATAGTTATAGTTGCTAATGAATTAAATTATTGCTAATTTCTATGATTAAAAAAATGTTGTTGATAAATAAATCCAATAGATATTTTAAAGAAATCTTAATTAATATTTTAAATTAATACAATAATTGAA